GCTGAAAAGCATATTTCTGAAAAATGCATATACATATCTAACCAAGAAATTTTCGATCAGAGCGATTCAGTCAGAACTCTGCTCGAGTGAATCTTCAGCGAACGTGATCACAGGTACACATGAAAAAACAATTTCTTAGCCATTCGGGCCATCTCCGGCACTAGTTAAGCTTAAAACGAGTGGCCCTTACGACAAAATTTACTGGATAGCTAGTATCTCCCTATGAATGGTCCCACAGGAAGAATTGCATGGAAAGAACTGAGTGCAAATAAGTCAATATAAATGGAATATCAAAACTGACAAGTACAGAATCCTTGTAAACAGCGAAGTCCTCGAGGGCATTTGCCATCCTTATCACATTCGAAAGGATGTGGAGGGGCTGAAAAATACACGCAGTTCGGGAGGCATTCCAATGTATAAAGAGGATGCCCACCCCTTATCAATAATCACTGTAACAAGAGGAAATGGACTGAACTGAAGGCAGGTGATGGTAGATGTTGAACTGAACTGAGACTAGACATTAGGACAAGGGCACAATGAAAAGTCGAATCTCGTGCTGACACCGGGTAAAGTCTCCCCTTTCAAGGGCTCGAGTCAATTTGGTGCAACTTACTTTATGGTACTGACCCCGGTAGAAGTTAGTAAGATCTTATGAAGAGAGGGCCCTCAAAGTATGACTAACGCAGAGGATACAGCTCACCAACATTTCTAGTCACCATCAAAACAAGTGGCATGAACTCACCAATACATTGAGTACCCATACAAGTAGTTCCTTGAGGACAGTCGCCATTATCATGACAGGATATGTTGTAGTAAACTGAAAAAACTCGCTTAGTCCTCCAAAATGCAACCTTTTGAAGCATTTTGAAGAAGAAATTTGAAATCAAGGGAAGCTTAGAAATCCGTTTTGACAGTCGCCATTAGCATGACAGGATATGTTGTAGTAAACTGAAAAAATTCGCTTAGTCCTCCAAAATGCAACCTTTTGAAGCATTCTGAAGAAGAAATTTGAAATCAGGGGAAGCTTAGAAATCCGTTTTTCGGCATAATAGTCAGACTCTGACTCTCACGCAATGCTATGAACACCAGTGGACTTTCGAAGGAGAAAATTCAGAATACAGTCTGAGCTGACTTGAGAAGATTGCTTCTCCTACGCTCATTCCCGCTTGGTAGGTAGGCAAGTTCATGGGATGGGTATCTGCGCAGTATATTGGCTTGTAACATAATTTCTGTCCGCTTTTTGTTCGAATTCGGAAATTAGCTTATGGCCTCACCAGTCGGGCCGCCCGGCTAACCGGGCTTCCCTCCTTCTTA